AGTTAGTTTGGTCATTTTGCTTCAATAAAATATTATTTAAATATTGAAATACAAAATTAATAAAAGATAAATTTTAACATTGCTATTTTTTTAATGAAGACTATCTTTAATTTGACTAAATCTCATCCAGCTAAAATTATAGGGAATCTTTATATGTGCTTCCTGATGTGAGGGTGCTGCTGTAACTCTTGGGTGCTGTTGTAATTAAAGTGCCTGCAGCATCTTGTGTATTTAGCGTACCCACACTTCAAAATGGTGGTGGGGGCATTTTAACTAAAGATCTTTTGAAGTTGAAGCCTGGGTACACCGAATACATGAGCCACTGAGGCTGCTGGAGTGAGCTAATTACTCGAGTCTGCTTTCACGCGTTCTAATTAGAATGAGTCAGAGTAGGCATTAGGCATATGTATAGGTGCCCATAAACCCTACAGGTTAAAATACTAGTTGGGAATCACCTTAACTGTGACTTGTAGGATACATTTTTTTTTCTTCCTGAAAAAGATGAGGAATTGAATTTATTCTGTAAAATTCAGAATGGCCAGGATGCTAATATAACGTCTCGGAGACTTGGATAAGCAGCACAGAAAGCTCAAGATGACAAAGCAGTACTTAAAGTATTATTAGTAAAAACTATATTTGAATATGAATTTACTCAAGCTATGGGAGAGCGTAGGCTTTTGTAATGTACATGTACCAGTGGATTATATCAATTCTCCATTGTGCCCAATCCACAGAGGTTAAGGATCAGTTTTGATTGTACGCAAGGTCTTTAGCTTAAATTGTAGTCGCTTATGATTTTAGCACTGGAGGTCTCTAGAGCAGTCCTGCTATGCTAGCTGTGATAGTTGCTGTCACATTTGGATCCAATGCTTGGTAGGTCGCAAATCACTCTGGGTGGTCTAGCATCAATATTTTCTGTCCCTCTGTGCATCTGCATGCTTGATGTCATTTATTTGCCATATCATTGATCCTACACAAGACGACTTCATTGCTATAAACACAGAATTACAATTTCATTCCTAATGGAGCTTCTGGGAGAAGTGAAGTAAGTAGCAAAACAAAGGGAGTGCCAAAAATGGCCGTCTGCAGGGATTCCATTTATGGGAATGTAAAATATATGTGTGTTCATGTATTACTTTTCTTGACTGATAAAATGCATTTTGTGTATCCCATCTATCATCTAGACATGCCTACTGTACTCATCACAGTCGTATCTGAGCAAATACTGGCTGTAGGAGTCTACATTATACATCAGCTTTTGTTACCCAAATTTTGCATTCAAACCTAAGTTTCATCACAGGTAAATTAGTGTCATACGCTTCAAAGCATCCAGTGCTTAGTTCTAATCATATCCTCGTGCTGCAAAATGGAATGTCACCTGCCAAAATAGGAGAATAGCATGAAATAAGGATTCCTGAGAACATTAATTATACTGGCCATGGAACAAAAGCTTTGCACACAAGTGTACTGCAGCATTTAATACTTACAGCTATTTTGCTTCTCAAGTTTTCTGTGCTGTGAAGTGTGCAGATTGGCACAACTGGTTATTTTTGCTCGGGGGGGGGGTAGTGTTAAGGAAATCAGTGGTATAGAAGAGATTGTATGTAGCACATGCCTCCGTTCTTATAACACTCATTAGCAGCTCTTTCACTATCACAATTTCAACAAGTTGTTATCTGCATCCAGTGTTAGAGAACAGAAAAAAGAAGAGGTGGCGAGGGGGAATTAAGAGTGTTTTTTTCCTAAAAGAGGGGAAATCTGAAGTCACTGTTATTGTATCTGGAAGATCTGGATTCAGTTCCTTCATCTGCCACAGGCTACCTACCACAGGTGTTTGGTGCTTCTTGAGTCAGCAACTGGGAGCGGGGAGGGAGGAGGGATTTCCCTGGCAGCCTGAGTGGGGGTAGTCCCCACTCACTATAAGAGTGCCCGTAGTCACTTCTGGAAGTAGCATGGCCACTTTTGCTGGTGGCCCCACTCCCTGGCCAGTGCTCGCAGGGAGGGCACTGGTGCTCCTGCCTGCCCCCCTGCCCACTGGCTAAACAGGGAGCACAGCCTGTCAGGGGGTGCATGTGCACCCCCATGTGTCACCCCCTGCTACCTCCATAACCTTGGCCATAAGTGACTTGTTCTCATTTACAAGAGACCTTTTATAACCAAAGCAGATTTAGAAGCTTCAGTTCAAAACTGTGATCCTGAAAACCTCTGTTCAACTGTATCTTAAAATCTCCAGAAGTGCATAAAAATTCCTGCTGCCCTCAAAAAGTTCTTCATTTACCTAAAGTTCTGCTTCTGCAGGCTGATGGGGCTCAACACTGCTCTCATGCCTAAACCAGGTTAGGAGCTGTATACCAGGCATTCACTTCTTAAGCACCCAAGAGGCTCCATCCAGTAGTACAGTCTTACACACCTACAGGACTGGGCTCTTCATAACATGCCATTAGGACTGTGTAAGGAGGTATGACCTTCAGGGGCTGAAATCCCACCTGCAGTTCATCGGTTGCCTAACTGAAAGGCCTGGGACCAAACTGCAAAGGATGACAAGTAAATGAGGGTGGTTCCACAAAGAGAGTTAAAAGCTCCAGGAGCAGAGTGCACGGGTGAGAGGGAAGGCTGGGGTGTTGAAGAAGCACAGAGTTTGGGTTGCCCTATATAAGGGTCTGAAGAAGAAAACTGTAGAGTTTTAATTCATCTGTCTGTGTGTGTGCTGTTTGTACACTCGTTTGTTTTATTTTTTGTTTCTGTGGGCTAAGTTTGTCCCATTAAAAAAAAAAAATGCTTGCTGGAAATTCATGGGTGACTAGCCTTGAGAAGGGAGCTGGGTAAGTGATGTGCTTCCAGGCTCCTTTCTTTAAAGCAAAAGCCAACAAACCAAAGCTAAATTAAAATTAAAATTAAAACCAAAACCCCCTCCAATCGGGCATTCGAGGAAATAGTGGTAGCGGTAGGACTTGTATGTCTTCCTGCCCCCTTTCTGAAAGAGCTCAGGGGTTGGAGCAGCTGTGCAGAAGTAGGAGATCCGTGTTCATTTCTGCCCTCTGCTTCATGAAAATCAACCCTGCGTCTCCTTCCCTGTGGCTGCAGCACTCTCTGCAGCCTGGCTTCTCTTCTCTGTGGCCAGGGTTCTCATTTTTAACCAATGTCTGTCTACAGTGGCAGGAAGAGCGACTGGATCCCAGGACTCCCCCAGGGCAGGGGACTGCCATAACTTCTGGATGTCAGAGGCAAGTTTGCACTTCCTCGTTCTCCTGGCCCCGTACATTTTGCATCTTTTTACTCCCAGTGGTCCTGCTTCAACCAGGAGGATGGCAGCTACCCATAGCCTGACCTCTTCTACAGGCTGGTGGTGAATCGTTCTCGTGGGGAGTGGGAAATGTGGGGTTTAAATCCCCTCAGATTTAGCTCCCAACTGTTCCTGCTTCCTACACAAATTACCTGGCTACTAGGCTGTGATGCAAAAGGTGAGTTTTTGCAAGCTGAATTCAATGTTGATCCAAATTAAGCATCCTCCGCCCTGCTCACCAGAGACCTACTTCCTGAATCACCATTGAACACGGTCTGTAGTTCCAGTGGAAATGCCTAGGGAACGCTGCAGTCCCAAATAGAGGCATCAAATTAATTTTGAGGCTGCTGGCTAAAGTCATGTTTGAATTACTTCTTGGAACTATCTAGATCCTGGTTTTAGACCCCTGACTTCCTTGTTTTGATCTAGTTGTTAGCTTCTCTGAGCTTCATCTCCTCATTGTGAAAATAGAAACAACACTTCCTTGTCTCACAGGAGAACTGCGAGGATAAGCAAGTTCTAAATTATCATGCTCAGACACTGTCATAAAGGAAATCTTGGAAATAACTTAGAGAAAAATCATTATTCAGTGGCACCAAAAAAAAAAGGGTTCATTACATTTCACGGAGAAATTGAACACATTTCAACAAATATATACTTGAAACTCTGCAACATTTTGGGAGTAAAACCCGAAACATTTTCTCTTTTTTGTTTTTATTTTTTTTCTAAGCAGCTCTAATTAAGATAACTGTTGGATTTCATTCTGGTGCAGTCTCTGGATGTTCTTGTCTTATATTGTTTTTTGTGCAAGTGACTCATTACCATTGTAATGTGCAGGTGAGATGTGTAACAGCGGGGGGAAGTCTACAGAGCTGTGCTGACTGTAATATGAACTATAACCCCCAGAAGCCCCCAGGGGGTTGGAGGAAAAAGGAAAAGGGAACAGGAGGTGGCCAGAAGACAAGGATGGAGCGGAGAGAGGATGGTGGCCAGATGCCCAAGGATGTGCAATGGGACTGGAGGTCTCACTGGCTGGGTCAGCCAGGGGTACAAACTGAAGGAGCTGGATTCAGAAGTTGGGGTCATCTGACCCCAGCTGACTTCCTGCCCTCCTTGAACAGGGGGCTGGACCCAATGATCTCATGAGGTCTCTTCCAGCCCTAATGTCTGTGAAATCTAAGAATTGGGAGCAAGTGCAGGTTCCTGTTTAAACACTCTTGGGAATAAAAAGACACTTCCAGAGGCGTTGGGGGCGGGGGGAGGTGCTAAGTATGTTACCACAGTGTTGATGTTTTTATTTGATTTTATTTTTATTCTTTACCTGTTCCATCCCTTTGACCTGCTGGCCTGTGAGCTAACCCCTATGATTTTCTATATAAAAGTGAGACCCCCCACACACTCTTTGTTGCTTGTGCCAGTTTCTGGGGCTGCAGGGGTGGCACACCGTGATCCTAGAAGTTTCATTCTCTAACTTGAATCAGGAGGAAAGCACTGAAAAGCCCCTTGTTAAAGTTCAGTCACTTTGCACCCTTAAAAGTTTTATTGGACTCACTCAGATCATATACTGAAATAATGACAGTCAGCACAGTTACCTTAGTTTGCCTCTTCCTTTTATTCCACTTGGATGGAAAGCTGGCCACGTTAGTACGCGCATTTGTTATCTCTAGATTTTCCTATTCCAAATCAATATACCACAACCTACAAAATGTTCGCAAAGAAGCTGCAGCTGGTGCATAACTCAGCAGTCTGTCTACTAAACCGGCTGAGCCAAAAGAGAACAGAATGACAAATGTCCGCAACCAGCATGGTCTCCCTAAGCACCCACAAGTTTATGTAAACACCTTGGTGCTGGTCTCTACATCCCTTAGTGACTTATGTCTCTGTTTTCTCGAGAATTGCTAGTATTCTGGAATCCAACGAGATATCTGCAAGTCATCTGGCCCAGGTGGTAGAAAGGGATTCTGGCCCTTATGTTCTGCAGTGGACTTGCTGGGGTATTTGCTTTTATGTGAAATGGTAGTGATGGTCTCTGCCAATTACAAGTGATAAACAAACTGTTTCAGAGTAGTAAAATGGCATGTCCAGGTTTTCAGAGAGCTAATCAATGGTGCTGCATAGCAACACTGCAGCATACACAGAAATTAAAGTGGGTATCCTGAGACTATTGGTCAGTCATAAAAATGCTAATTAGCCTATTATTTAGCTGAAAGTTATTAATTATAGAGGCATCCAAGTGATCATAAGAGCACTGATGTCTGTTTTTGTCTTTTTTATATGATTATTTGAAAAGGGGTGAAAAATACTCCATGCAAAGGTACACGGGGCTTCTTTCAATCAATATGCATAATGTAGATTACATTGCAATTTGGACTTTACAGCTGCAGGTTATAATTCAAACACAAATTACCTGGCTTGATGCAGGATTTGTTGTGTGGGTTTGTAAGACATGTTATGCAAGTAGTTAAAAAAGGTTCCTTCTGGCTTTAGAAATGTATTAATTGATGAATAATTTCCCTTATAATGCTACATGGGCCACTCAGACCTAGGGGCTGCACATCAGGACCAATAGGCCATGTCCAGACATTCAGGGGCATGCACTTGCAGTGGCACAAATAGTAGTGGCAAAAATTTGTGCCACTACTTTGTTACTCAGCAGGACACATTGCAGGGCACACTGTCCTGCTTTGGGCAAGCTGCCCTTGCCCAGCTCCTCCTGGCATGCTGGAGCAGGGGCAAAAATGGAGTAGCAGTTATGCTCTGGCTGGCAGCCACTTCATCTCAATGGAGGACCAAGCCTCCATTTCTTCCAGCACACACTATTTTCATATGCTCTGTGCTGCTTTCTTTTCCTGCCCCCCCTTTATTTTTTAAAATTAATCAATTTGTTTTTGCTACCAGACCATGTTTTAATATTCCACATGTAAAGTTTGTGGTGGAACAAAGAGGTCTGTGGCATTGCAAACCACACGTGTGCATGTCTAGATGCAGCCGTAACATTTATGCACTCCTCATTCTGGCCCAAAACAGCTAGGTAGAGTTGACTGAGGAGTGAACTCAGATACTTTCTAGTCAACACAGTTGAATCTGCCGGTGAAATCAGGGGGAAAGGGACAGATGCAAATTACTCTCTCCAGAAGCAAAAGAAAGCCGAAGAGAAATACACTGAGTGTGAGCTGGGGTGCCTCATAGGAGTACTCTGGGGATAATGCAATCCAGCTGTACCTGAAATTATTTCCTACTCTAGCCACAGTCTCTGCATAGTGTATGGCATTCAATTACATTGGCAGGTAATATTTTAATGGCTGGTATGGGGAGAAAGATGTTTCCCCATATAAAGTCTCACCTAGATTTTTTTTTTAAACAGCTACAGTCACAATAATTCTGCTCATTTTAGAACTGCATAAAGAGGTTCATACATTAAGTTGATACATGGTACTAAACTTGCTTTCAGTGGTGTGAACCTTTTAACTATTGAAAGGAAAGCTTCTATGAGAGCATAGGTCTACTGGGCAAATCCTGTTGTAAGACCCTATGCCTTGAGTACAGTATTCATCCCCCTCATGCCTCAAGTATAGTTCTGCTTCACCTCTACCAGGATATGCCTTTTTTAATACAGGTGCTTTGGGTTATTTCTCTGGGCTCATAGAACAGTTTCCCCCATGATTTAGGTTTTCCTTGTCAAAGACAATATAGGAAGCAGCATGTGTCTGTGTCAGATGCATTGAAAAGCTCAGTGCTACCCTATCAAGCAGTTTATTATTACCAAGCAGCTATAAGTGACCAGAATGCCTTACACTGGAAATTTCTCTCAGCGTGGACTTATACACTTGTATCTCATAGTCAAGTGATAAGGGATCAGGTGTAAGAACTCACCAAGTAAACCTTAGCATTATGTTTAATGGCATATTAAACTACATTTGTATTCAGTGTTTTTTGGGGGAGGGAGGGGGCTGTTTATTTACCTTATGCTACTGCTTAAAAGAAGATTGTGAAGTTCAACTGGAGCGTACCGCAGCATTAAATGCATCAAATGAGGTTGGTATCTCCATTTCCCCATTTTGCACACCTCATCCTAAATAAAAGGAGAGAAGGAAATGCCTGCCCAGGTTTTCACCTGAGTTTTTTTTAAGGCAGATTTTCTCACCATCCTATTTAGTAGCTCTGCCTGACAGTGCCCTGAACGTCCCATGTGAGCTATTCTTGTATTGTAATTTGCATATGTAAACCACTAAAAATCTATAAGGAACTGAATAAAAACATAAGAGAAGCAAGATTTGCAAAGCAATCTTTAAAACATGGGGAGAGAAAGGCACAACTGAAATTCTGATTAGGCAGATGTGCTGATTGTAATCAGTGATTGACTGGTTCAGCTCTCAAATATTTGTTTTAGTTTCAAGGAGAGTGCTCTGGGACACATCACAAGTGACCCAAATAAGAAATACTGACTGGGTCAATAGCTTCAAAGCAAAAGGAAATATTTCATTTTCTTTTCTTTGTCTTCTTTTAATCATAATATTAGTTTACCAGGAGTTAAAATCTTCCTTGCGATACAAGTTTGCATCTCCACCAAAGTCACTGGGAGTTGCACAGGCAAGGCCCAGTTTTGCTCACATTTAAGTCAATTGATGTGCACAGGATATCGGTGACAGTGGAATCTGGCCCATATACATTACTGCTTCCACCTTCTAGGAACCTAAGTCAGACAACTTTTACTTATTACCCAAGATCCACGAACCTGGCAACCCAGAATACCCCACTGTCTCTGGCACCATCACAGAGGGAATTTCTAGCTGTGTTGACTATATCCTATTCCCATATGCCACCGGAGCTACCAGCTAGCTGAAAGACACCACATAATTTAAAAAAAAAGAAAACAAATACTGGGCTCCATTGACAAGCTTCCAGCAAGCTTGCAGTTAGCTGCAATGGATGTCATGTTTTTGTATAACAACATCCCTCATAAGGAAGGATTACAAACCATAAAGCACATTACCCCTGACAGGAAAACGGCTTCTGTTTCCATTCAGATATGTTGTTTTGTCCTCACACTCAACTATTTCAGGTCTGGGGACTCCCTGTACCTACAAATAAATGGCTCTGCCACGGGCACATGTATGGTCCCCCAGTATGCCAACATATTTATGCTGGGCCTTGAAGTTGTTTCCTCTGCAGCTACCCTCTCATCTCCCTGGTTTATTTTAAGTACACAGATGATGTCTCCATAATATGGAAACTGGAGAAGGAATCTACAGAGAAATGTCACGAAGACTAACAACTTCCAGTCCTCCATCAAACTAACTCTGGAATACTCCACAGAGCAGATTAATTTCCTAGACACTACAGTGAAGATTTGCAGTGGCCACATCACTACCATGTTTTACTAGAAACATACCAACTACAACAGCTATCTTCATGCCACTGACTTCAAACACTGATACCACCCCAAAGTTTGGTGTCATTGGTGAACTTGGCCAGTCTGCTTCTGACACCAATGTCCACATCACTAATAAAGATGTTAAAGAGGATGGAGATGTCCAAGGACGGAACCTTGGAGGGCACCAATGGTCGTGGAGCGCCATGATGATTCACTTTCTTCGACTACCACTCTCTGGGTCCAACCTATTACAATATCCTTGTAATATATGCCATCACATCATTACAATGCCCCTCTTCTGTCTACGTCAGACAGGCAATTTCTACATGCAAGAATAAATGAACACCAGTCTGACATCAGCTGCAGAAAGACACACAACCTGCAGCAAAATACCCTGGGAACTCCATTGCTGACCTCAGGAATGCTGTTCTCAGGCAAAAAAGAAAGAAAGAAAGGAAGAAAGAAAGAAAGAAAGAAAAAGCCAGCTTGAATGGGAAGCTGCAGAACAAGACATCATCCACAAATCAGCATCATGTTTAATGGCATATTAAACTACATTTGTATTCAGTGTTAAGTATGATTTAAACAGGGATTATGGATTCTTGCCTCATTACCTGGATTAACTTTTGTGACCTATGGGCTTACTTCGATTTTCTCTCTGAAAACTGGCCCATACCTGCCTCTTTGTCTCTCTTCCTCCCTTATCTTTTGTATTCTTATTTCTCTTTCCTTATATTCTGCTTTCTGCATGTCCTTTCACAGCATCTGATGAAGTGAATTTGGATTCACAAAAGCTTGTGCTTTTGATATACATCTTAATTAGTTAGCCTGTAAAAGTGCATATCTACCCTACTTTCAATATACATTAGAATTGGTCCCTGTTTTAAACTGGGGCTTTACTAGCAGGATTAGGGGAAAAGATCTATCTGTACCATGTGATTGAAAGAATGAGGACCTTTATGATGAAGCTAGTTAGTGAGAGTGGACATCTGGCAGTTAAATTCTGAGCTTTTGCTCAAAAATCAGTGGATTATATTACTATATAACTTGACTTACTTGCCTTTGGGATAAATCCTGAATCATTTTTCTGTTAAAACTCACACTGGACTGAGGACTAAGGACTGCAACATTCATCTCACTTTTGATAGTCCAATAAAGCCTGAGCCAATAATTTCCTTTGTGTATCACACTGTCATTTATATGGAACATATCAAAAGGCTACAGCAAGGTTAAATTCATCCCCATAGCCCTGTGCCCCTGAAAACGCTTGCCATGTGTCTCTGTCTACAATGTTTCTACCCTTTCCTCTCTGAAACTCTGCTATGGCAAGGAGATGCAGAGAGAATCTCAGCAGA